TTAATCTCGTTTTTCTCGTTACGTGTTCCGGCGATTTATATATACACACACACAGACACAACGCTGCTTCTTGCGGTATGTGAATAATACCGTTTAAATCTCTCGTGTGTAATTTCTCCGAGAGATAGAATAGAAATGGGCGCTCGAATGGTGGTGCGCGGCTTTGCGGCGACGACGACGACGACGCGAAGCGCATCGCTCCCATCGCTCCGCGGCAACGAGTGTGTATCGAATATACGACGAATTTATCTGATCGTCAAAGAAACGGGACACCTGTCCCGCCGGCCCACCTCTCCCTTCCCCCCTCATCCCTCTCCTTTTCATTTCGTGCCCGATTTACTGGACGAATTTCACCGCACGAATTTCGCCATGTGTTTATACGCGCGTTTTATATACAAACTTGCGAAAGCGTCAGAAAACTCAGCAAACGCAGCCGCGCTGCGCATCGCGAATCAAAGACCTGATCTTAATTCGTTTTAATGTGTATACGGATGGTAGATATATTTTATTGATATCTAGAAGAACACACACATGTTCGCGCAAAAAATTCTCCGTGTAAGTAAAATCTATCGAGAACAAACGCGGTTGCGTCTTACGTAATTTTACGTAAGAAAACAAAAAAAAAAAAAAAAACAAATAAAATTTGTCCAACGATGTCCAACATTGAAAGAGAATTGTCGATTACACCCACTCGACGATTCATTGTTTTTATTCTTCAAACACACATTCGGCCGACAGCCTCGACCGCGAAGAAACTCCGCTACAAGTTCGAATTCCGCTACTACGGTCGAGCATCTCCGTCCCCGGCATTGGATAGAAAAGGTGTCAAACCGCCAAGGTCGTCAAGGAAACTCGTCGAATCGACCTCTCCGCAGGCGACGGAGATCTCCTCTTTCGTCAGTCGCGCGAGAGATTTCACCTTGGGCGACCCTGACGTAATTCCGTCTCTGGCGCCGATCGGTGCTTGCCGATGTCAAACACAACCAACCAACAACCGGTAACACGTCGGATGTTCGTCTCTTTAATCTGACCTGTTTGCGATCGGGGAGATTCTTGTGAAATATAATATTTTCACTTCGACGAGAGAGATATCTCGCGCGCGCGCGCGCGCGCATTTCTCTCTCAGGGAGAAAAACCTTTCTCTCGTCTTTTTACAAGCTTCCGAGTTTGTTTACTTCCTCGTCGTGCGTATTCGAACGTATCCGAAAATTTCCAACGCGCGCGTTTTTACCGCGCGACTCGATCTGACGCACGATTACGCGCGCGCAGAAGTTTCCGCACACACATTATTAGCAAGTGTGTGCCGCTCGTAAGTGCGAACCCGCAAAAAAAAAACGACGCGATCATCGCGCGCGTGATGATGATGACTTTAACGCGCGCGTAATCGGAAACACAAACCGAACAAGCCGAAGTTGAAATATATATGAGGTCTCTCTTCAGGAAAACGTTTTAAACTTAATGGAAATTACATAACTTTTCAATCCGTACTCCGAACTTTGCTACTACGTATATGCCCCGTCTTTCTAACTTAAACGTCAAAAATCTCGGACTTCTGATCCCATCGGAGTTCCAATTTCGCCATCCGAAGACGAACGGCAGTTTCGTTTTTTTTTTTTTTTTGTTTTCTTACATCGCAAGACCGTCATGCAACATTGTTGCAATATTGTGCACACATATTCGTAAAAAATATGCGCTTATTTACTTAATACAAAAAAAAAACACACATCGAGTTTCGCAAGTTTCCAACGTTGCATCCACTTCTCAGTCATGATCGCGTAATATAAATCCGATAAGTAATGTAAATGTAACGTCCTTTTTTTTGTTTGTCTTCGCGAGAGAGAGAGAGAGAGAAAGAGAGAGAGGGAGAGAGAGAGAGAGATTAATATATGAGATACGGCACAATAGAGAGCGGCGATCGCGCAATCTAAGAAGACGAAGATGATAACCCAATTTTCATGAATTTATTTTCGCAAGATTCACCTTTGTGCGTCCCGGAGATTTTTTTTTTTTTTTGTTTAACGCTCTCGGTGTGTTTCACTTTTCTTTTTTTTTTTACACACGCGCCCGAGATACATATTCCGCTTGTGTGTGTGTGTGTGTGTTCGTAAAGTCCGCTAATGATATTCGATAACGCAACGAGAGAGATATATCGCGCAATGACGAACCGATCCGATCCGATCTCCGGAGATCGGGATGACCATCATTTTCTACCTTCGTTTCACATCCGTGTGGCGCGTTGTTAGTTACGTCCGTGTGTGTGACGCGTATATGTGTGTTAGATTACGGACTTATTCCATTCCGTTCTTTCGACACCACGAAAGCGAAAGCAGGCCGGAACCGACGCGGTTCACCGATCTGTGATGGACCGGTGTGGTGCACGCGCGAAGTGCAAAGCGTACACGATACGTGCGCGAAAATACGCGCGTTAATTATTAAACGTGCGGGCGCACACACACACACACACCGTGGGCGTGGGTATAATTAAACAAACTCCTTTAGGCTTTATTACGTTCGGAATTTCTTGAATCGGGAGCGTCGCTATATCGGCGAACAACTCGCGCGTTGTTTGTTACATTATGCGCGTGTGTGACCCTCATTCATCCGCCACTGTGTGTGTGTGCGCCTGAGCTACCGTTCGCAGAAACGGCGCGAGATTGACAATGAGAGAGACCTCTCCGTTTCTTATATAACACAAAAGATACCTTTCTCTGATTACTCTGTAACTATCCCCCGACGAAAATTATACGATGAATGGGTCTTTTCAACAAAACCGGAAGGTCATTATATTCGGGCGTCTTCGAGATTATTTCAAGAAGAAGAGAAACCGCGGCGCGGAAATTATTACAAGATCGAAAAGTCTATTACGTCTTAGTAATCCGTTGTCGCTGATTTGACACGTTTGAGATATTTTGATTTTATTTCAAGCCGCGGGAAAACGCGGAAGAATAAAATTGAAAGATAAATGTCCCAACGATCGGGGG